GGAGGGGGCACAGCCAAACTGGCCAAAGGGACATTCCATACCATGTGACGTCATGCTCAGTACATAAACTGGGGGAAGCTGGCCGGGGGGGCCGCTGCTCGGGGACTGGCTGGGCATCGGTTGGCGGGGGGGGAGCAATTGTACTGTGCATCACTTGCTTTGTGTATTATTATTATTATTATCATTTTATTTCAATTATTAAACTGTTTTTATCTCAACCCACGAGTTTTTCTCACTTGCGCTCTTCCAATTCTCTCCCCCATCCCACCGGGTGGGGGGGAGTGAGCGAGCGGGCTGTGTGGTGCTTAGTTGCCGACTGAGGTTAAACCACGACACAGGGCTTTGAGGAATCTGATCTAGTGAAAATGTCTCTGCCCATGGCAGGAGGGTTGGACTAGATGATCTTTAAACCCAAGGTTTAAACCTTCCATCCCAACCATTCTATGATTCTATATTCTGCTATTTTAGCATATATTCATCATATATTTCAATAATGTACTTTGGAGAAAAGCCACAGGCTCAAAGCGTCAAAAAAAAACCCCAAGAATCTCAAAAGCAATGACAGATTGGGACCTCATTCCTACGTAGGAGCTGAGACAAAGAAGGCACACTCTTAGATCTGATAATATACACCTAGTCAGACACCAGATGGCCTGTCCACGATCAGCCAGGAAAAAGTTATTGTGCAGAGGATTTAAACAAGGGCCTCCCAGATTGCAGACCTACTACCCCTGCCACCAGATAAACCTTAGTGTTGTTTCAACTTGAGAAGACTGAAACAGAATGCACAGGCAGATTTTCCACTGTGTCAAGTTTCACAGGCATATCTTGATTTTCTTCTATTCAAAAGGCATTCTGACATGGAAAAATGGAGAAAGATGGTGATTTTCCCCAAATCAGGAGAACTGTCCATTAGACAGAGAAACAATTTTACCTCTCTACATCAACAGAAAGGTAGAGTGAGGCAAGACAACCAAGACATTTGGCCAGAGGGACATGAAAACGCATCCTCCTCAAACTTTAGCTTTACATGCTCATCACTCAAGAAAGTCCAGCAGAAATTCCCACATGTAAAAGGCTGAGCTGTTAAAAAATTCACAAGTGTCATGTTTCACAAAGAAAGGCCTGTGACTCAGCACTGGACAGGACAAGCCTACAGCATTTTAAGCCAAGTTGTCAGTTGCTAAAAACAGTGGCTTTTTTTTGGTTGTAAGGGAGAGATATTTCATTATTCCTCCATCCACTGCAGTAAGAGGGAACTCTTACTGAAAGAAGGGACAGCAATACCCACAATCTTAATACGAAAGGTTTAAAGTTTTACCATCAGCTGTAACCAGCACCATTAAAACCATGATCACAGCTGATGTTCCTCTCAGTAATACCAGTAACATGGCAGCTAAAATACAGCATGGAGACCAGAGTCGTGCCACTAGACATGCTAAATAATTTTTCAAAACTAACATGTTTCCACTAAGAGCCTTAAACAGGACAATTTTATCTAAATTAATAGCCAGCTGTACTTAAAAACTATGATCAATATCTACCATTATGACTCATAATCAGATAAAATCCTATCAAGCACAATTACCCTCTCCATACAAAGGGCAAAAGCATATAGATAAACCATGCTGACTATCAAATTCTCCAAATGTGGCCACTTAAAAATGATTGAACTTCCATAGCTCATGCTGAGTCTTGGACACTTTCTTTTATGGTTGTCACTCTAGCACCTTTAACAGCACTAAGTGATAGGAGTTGAAATAGGAACGGCTTTTATACCTGTCACCAAACAGCAGTAACTCTTGTTGCAGACCTAAGCAGAACTTATATAAATTAAAAGGGGAAAACCAGAAATAATTCCAAGCAACCTGTTCATTGTGTTGGACCTATTTTTCAATACATCAGACAAGACATGCAAAAGTATGGAAATTAGTATGAAAACCTTCTAAACCAGTATCTAGCAACAGTCTTAGAGAAGTAGAGGCTTGGAGGAAGGGAGATGAGGATTGGAATGTCAAGAAGGTGTGGGAAGGGAATACGAGCAAGTAAATGATAGCTTGATGAACGAAGGGAGGATACCTACCAGTAGATAGAGACTCCCTTAGAGGCATAAGCCCATGTGCATGTTCACAACCTGATCAGGCAAAACATCCAAACACTTGGGATCAGCCACTGCTAAGACAGGCAAGCCTAGGAAGTGTCTCCTCAGACGTCTGAACACAGTGAAAAGAAGAAATTAAGCATGCCCCAATCCTAAGCTAAGGAATACCTTCCCTTCTTGGGAACAGAAGGGAGAAGACCAGATTGGAAATCACATCTCAAACAAACCTGTTTCCAACTCCAAGGAGTTCTCAGAGGCAGGTGTCTCTCTCCTGGGCTCTGAAAACTGAAATTACTGAAAAACCTCAAGTTCCCTTGCTTGTCTTATCCACACCAACAAATTGCCAAGAAACCATCCAACTTGGCAAATGAAGCTCTCAGCTACCAGAAGCAGTCCTATCTGCCACACTATTTTGAAAGAAATGCAGTCTGAACACTTTTTTAGGAGTTCTTCTTTTGGAAAATAAAGATAATGCATGTGAACACTTCACAGGAATAATCTTCTGCCACAAGTCGTGAAGCATTTAAAGTCCATTGGAGAGACTGATGCCATAAAAATATTTTTAAAAACAAAAGAGTCAGCTCAGTGGCCAAAATTTAGGAAAGACAGAGGGTAAAAGATTTCTAAGAAGGAAAGGAATAAAATGTGTTGATGAAAACTCTTTAAGCAAAGGAGCTTGTTCTGACTCTACCAAGTGGTTAGAAGCAGCTGAAAGGAAACAGAATACTCAGCTTTACAAATGCAGGCAAAGCATGTGTTTTGGCAGTGTTTGGCTGCACCCATCTGCATATTGGGGCAAAAAAGTTCTTGTTAAGGGGCTTGTGCACAGGTCTGGATCTATACAAACAACCCAGCTATCGATGCGTGATCTTTGCTCTTTCTCTGAGGATTTTCATATTCACGGTAGATGACTCCAAGGAGCATGCTCCAGTCTGAGCAAGTTATCCAGAGACAGGATCAATGTTCCTAGCTGAAAAGATGATGTGGGCCTGCTCTACTCAATGCTTGAAGGCTTCAGTGATCACATAGTACTTAATGTGATCTGAGCTCCAAGCAACAGAAATACAGATTTCTGGAAAGGAAGCATCCTTCAACTTGCTGCTGAGGTCACTTGCACTACAGTAGGAACTACCATGACTACTTCTAACGGTTCCAGCTTAGCTACTTCAGTTGCTCTTTGGCACAAGTTGGAAAGCACACGCAGCTCAGACTGCTCTCCATGAAACTTCTTTGCTACAGAAATAAAGACACCAACATTTTTCCTTGCTTATGTCTGACAGCAAAAGAAAGCTTGTGTTCTGGGGGCCTTCAAAAGAAAACTGGTAGGTTAATAGTGCTGACCTAGATGAAGTTCAGAAGCTGCCTCAAGTTAATATTTGGGTTGATCATTCAGTGATTTTTATGCCTTCTTTTGTTAGGACAGAAGTGTAAACTAACAGGGCTTGAATTTCACCACTACCCTAACACAAGTGGTAGTTGCTACAAAGACTGTCTTCCTGAAGAGGTACCAGAGCAACCAATTTAAAAGGCTGACTTGTAACACTGGGGAATAGGATCACTCCCTGAGGGTAAAATCCTTACTGAGCTATGAGGAAACTGATGGAAGTCCTAAGCCTGACATTCTGGAGGCAGAGAAAGGCTCACTGCCACGAACGCAAGGTCAGCTCTTCGGTTGCTAAAGGAAAGAGGGGCAAAATTATGTGCTTCTCCTTTCCTTTGGGCCTCCTATAACAGACCACGTCAATCAGTGTAGCAGAAAGGACTGCCTGCAGCTGATCCCTCTGCAGATGGGCAGCTTGGAGAGTGTGGACAGCGAAGAAGGTGAAGCAGTAGTACTTGACAAAAAATAAACTAGCAATTTCTTTCAAGAAATACACTGGGTTTTTGCTTTGCCACTAAGCTCTTCTTCCAAAGAGAAGACACTCCTAAAAGAGAAAATTCACAGATCCTAGGATGATACCAAAGACCTAAAGAGCCAACAAATATGGGGTTTTCTCCTGGTTATTTTTAAGGCTGCAGGCTTAAAATCCCTGAGAACTTGTTTATACGTATGTGGTGCTCCCCTAAACAAAGGGGGAAGATACATACGAACACCTGAAAGTGTATCAAACCTTAAGCCGTGAGATATGGCTGGAAGCTTAATGTTTTAGGTAGCGGGCTACAGAAGGGACATGAAAAATAAACAAATCAAACATATAGGCAATAGATCAAAAGACAGGTAGCTGATAAGACATGAGATAAGAGCTATGACTTAATCTGTAGGTTGGGTCAGGCTCCAGCCTTGTTAAGAGTATGTGAAGTGAGAGGTCACAGCAATGTTACTGCTAGACCAAAGAAGTCCACGGTTCCAAGTCTTTGGGTATATGCATCCTTTCAATCTAAGCATGTCTTTGCATAAGCACTCAGAAGTATAAATCTCCAATCTTTTTTAATAGAAGTTTCAAACGTGGGACAAAACTGGCTTGAAACTTCTCAGTTTGTCACTGAGAAAATGGTAAGAAGATTTTGTAGCGCTTTTGTGAAGCAAATCTACAGCCTTGCAGGACAAGTGACAAAACTATTATTTCTACCGTCGTGGAGTTACAGAATATCAAAACGAGTTATTGTTGGCATGAGAAGCTAGTGACTTGACATTTCAGGCTGATGTTTACTTGAGTGGATACCTTTTGAAAACATCTTGATAAAAGCAGCATTTCAAAGCACTAACAGAGGGTCCTAAATTGGCCAAGACCTGCACAGAAACAAGCTTTAAAGATTCCATACTCTAAGAATTTGGTTACTTTAGGCAACTTACTGCTGTAAAATTAGTTTACTGAAAAAACAATATTCTAGAAAATTCTTCATATGCAACATTTGCTACAATACATTAAATTTCACAGACACCTTCCAGTCTCCTTACCTCTTGTCCTGAAAGGTAGTATGCTGCTAGAAGACCGCCAATGAAGCGAATGTTGACCTCAAAAACAGACACTTCGGAATTCTAGAACAGGAAGAAAGAATAAATAATTAACCAACTCGCTAATCAAAGAAGAAAAAAAAAATCATCAAGGCTGAGGCAAGTACATACCCTAAACTAATCTGCATGCAGGAGTTTGTACTGTTTCGGTATCTAGATCCATACTGAAATTCCTGGGCACATCTTCACAGCACCAAGTGATAATTCTAGTTACAGCTTCAACTGATTTTTAAAAATCAAATTAGTTTTTCTCCTGCTCTCTAATCATATTATCACCACAAAGTGCAATGAAAGTTGTTTGGGGATGGTGGGAAAGAAAGCAAGGACTGTACATTTCCATAATTCAGCATCTTTTATGTTTAAGCATAACACCAAGTCTTCTGGGTTTACAGGATAAAGTAGAATAATAATTAGAGAATTCCTGTAATGTGCTTTCCTAACCTGAATTATCAACGTGCAATCTCAAATTCAGAGCTCCATTTTAATATAGTCTCTGTCTAGGAATAGTTTTTAATGTTATGACAACATAAAGGCAAGTACTGCAAGACCACTGAGAAACTCAAGAGAATAAACCATTTTACTGCCTTCCTCCACATTAGTATGCTTGGGCTAAATTCACCAGTATCTTTTGACTCATTTAACCCACTAAAAAATTAAGAGGAACTAGATAGTTTTAACATCTTTCTGCCTCCCTCTGCACCCCATTCACTCTTTCGCCTGCATACACCCTATCTGTCTCCCCCCTAAACTTCTCTTCATTCAACACATTAGACACAGAAATGTAGTTTTATTAAAAGATTTTGAGATAAAGGAGACTCTTCTTTTTATCCAGAAAAGTCACTACAACGTACACTGTACAAGCTGACCCACCAATTAGCACACAGTTGAAATGCTATTTATAGGCATGTCCTTCCTTTCACACTATTTCTATGGCATCTGCGGTTGTATCGTGCATTTTGCTTGTATCCAAAATAAATGCATTTTGCACATATTACTTATTTCAGAAAGATTATATGAATACTTTAAAGATTTCCTCAAATAGCACTGATGATTAAATGTCTAAAGTTTGAAATACTCCCAAATATAGGTTTTTAGTAAAAGACTTATTTTTATTCACATACAGGTGATATAAGAAAAATATCAACAATGCAGCATACGATTCCACTTAATACTTATTAAAGTCATGAATCACACAAGCAATGGTACAGTGTAGAGTGAAACCAATTATTTCTATTTCCCAGTAAAAGAATCCAAGAGGAACAAATTTATGTATTTATTTATAAACTTCAAACCATATAAGGAAATTACTCAAGTCTGGTGTATATATAAGACAATATGTAAGACAACATATAACACAACTCATTAACTTTCAGAAATGTTTTTTGATACATAGCAAGCTGTAATTGAACCGCAGTGGGTCATGTATATTTCTTCCACCCAAACCCTAGATTAATTTGGCAAATTTATATTGAGATTACCTCAGATCAGACAAAAGTTATGGAAGTAATTTAGTTCACCCTCATAACAGTACCATTATGTCTACACTGTCTCTGATATATTTAGGGTCTTCAGTTTTAGACTGAATAATTATCTGGCACTAACTGAAAAAAGCAGAGTAGAATTTCTTCAATGTTTGCCAGACAGTCAATGTATAAAACAAAAGGAAAAAACACAAACAAATAATTTCTGAAATGTAGGATATAATATAAAACCAACAGTAAGCATCTGCTCAATTCTGACTGTATACCTACATTTTATTTTGTGCATTACTGAATGAAAAATTATTTTTGGAACCATAGGGCAAGTCCAAGGATTGAAATACAAATTCCGTCACAGAGTCTATGACAGTCCCAAAATTAGTAATAAGAACACTAATCAGGAAGGATAAAATAGAGCCATTTCTTCCATTTAACGCTTCCAAACTCTGTACACATGAAGAATGTCAGATGCTGTATGACCAGCTGGGAAATTCTTGTGATAGATTCAGAACCTGTAGGCAAACTGCAACGACTCAAGTGGCATTCTTCGTGTTAAAACATCTTAAGGACATGGAAGAAGAAGAGATTGTATTGTTAAGTACTTTATTGTTAAGTAACCATGGTTTGGGGGGAAATTGTCTTTCACAGCTCAGTTATTTCCAGCTACTATCAGCTAGTAAAGCCTCATCTTTCTGCCTTCATTTCTGCAGTCCTGTTAGTTCTCACTGACGACTCTCCCTTTCTTCCATTATCCAATTAATTCATACTTTGAAAATACAATACACAGATCTATCTTTACTTATAATTAAAGTGTGACAGGGTTGGAGTGGTGGTTTTGTTGTTTTGGGGTTGCTTTGTTTTTGGTTTTTTTTTCAAAATAAAGTTACAATCACAGAGAACTTCGCTAAAGCTTACATCTGAACTTCCGATACTTTGAATTTTAAGTTTTTTAAGTTCCAGCTGAAAGACCTCTTCTATCTCCCCCCAAAAACACCCCTGGCAAAAAGGACTAGAGAAATATTAGGGCAAGCTCTACTCACCACACTGAAATCAAGATTTTTGTCAATCCACTCTTGTCCTTCTCTGAATTCATCGTGAAGCCCCATGATATAAAGAGTATCCAATGCATCTACTATGGTAGCACCCATTTGTGAGTTTCCTACACACAAAAAGAAGGATTTCTATTACAAGTGATTATTTCATTACTTTTCTTAAACATCACAAGCATGAGAAAATAACCCAAGCAGTAGCAAAGCAAAGTTACTACAAAGACAACAGCACAAAGAATAATAAAAATGAGCAAGGAATTAGCAGCTACATAAGAATATCACACTTCTCTTTCAAAGCATCAGTCCTCTGGCACAGTTCGGCTTCTGGGGAGAAAAGATGACTAAAGACAGAAAAAAAAAAAACAACCCTTCTCATCTGCTTTCCTAACCTGAACATGAGCAACTGTACTTTGACACAAAAAAAGGACAGAAAGACATTCAGCTTCATAAAGTTATCAGGAATCCTAGGACAGAAGTGTTAAAAAAGCACATGCAAGATAAAGCAATCTGTATTTGCAGTAATGCCTTCCATTTCCCAACATTTACTGCTGGAACGTTCAAAGTTTTGCAATTATGGAAGCTACCTAGTCACTGAAAGCATGGACTGGTGAGCAGGGATGCCCTGGCTTGGCTTGACTGATAAAGCTACAGCCCCAAGATGTTCACATCACTGGCCTGCAGGGACCCACACTAATGGATTCCTGAATTGTCACCATTTAAAGCGGAGCATTTAAAGCCAAATAAAAATCAAGGGTGCTTTAACCTAAAACGCCATTCACTTGAAACAACAGCCAATTTAGAGTTGATTAATGAATGACTCATCGGTTTGTACAAGGGAGACAGGATGAAGAGGTGGCTAGCCACTGACCACGTTAGCCTTGACCTCCTTAGGCCATCCCAACCTAAGCTGTTGCCCTTAGTAGGCAGAGGTCTTCGTTTCTAGAGGAAGGCAAGAATTACCATGGGTTTGTTCATTTTCATGGAGTGTGTAAAACTTCCCACGCACTAAGAAAATAGCCCAATTCCACTGCTTATGCCAGTATTCTATACAACAGTACAATAACTATATGATTAGCAATTTAATGACAGTAGTCTCCTAACAAGTTAAGCCAATTTTATTTTTTTAATGTGCTTTTCATCCATAATGGAATTTCTACAGTGCAGTGTTCCTGCTTGGTCGTTTCTACTCATTCATTTCCAATTTTTACATGTTTAGAGATTTTTTTTTTTCCCCCTCAAGCATAACAATAACTGAATGAAGCCATCACCCTCATTGTATTTCTTTTACACACCTAAATGACTGATACTTACATGCAAGCTTAATTCCATTTTCAGAGATTTCTTTCCCTGAATAGTAAAAATTAAACACAACAGTCTCTATGACAAAGTGATCACCAACTTATTTCTTAAAAAATAGCTGTGGATCTGTTTTAATTAATTTAAACTAGATATGGAAAGCTTTAAGTCAGTGGTGTTTGTTAAGAATATTTAAGTACAGATCGGGACAGGCTACCTTTCGCAAGATTAATTAAAAAGACACATCCTTTGACAAACTGGCCACCAGGCATACCTATAACTCTCAGGAAATGAATTCACCGTGGTGCATAAGTACTGTAAGGTTTAACACCTTCAGCCAAGTGACAAAATTCCATTGCTTGTGCTGAAGTGGAGGTCGCTTTGAGCAGAGCTACAGCATGCACTTAACTTGGTACCTTTTCATAAGCATAATGTGACAGTTACATAACTTATCACTTAAATATGCAAATCAGATCATGACACAAGGACTAACTTCAGTATTAGCTGACAAGGCATTTCTGATATAAAGGTAGAATGTGTTACACTGCTATGGCACTCTGTTCCTTTATTTAAACCACATTGATAACATTTTCAAATACACAAGGTGTTTGAATGAATAGCCTTGGGAAATCCTGAAAGATCCTCTTGTAATAGTTTCAAAAAATAAAACCCTTCTAACTTAAACACAGTGATAACCACATTAGTAAGCTCACATAGTCTATAATTGGTATGGGGTGAGGAGAATACATTGCACGGGGATGGATTGGTGTTGTGTCCCCCCACCCCAGAAAAAGAGTTCAGACACCACCGTACAATCATCCAGAGTTTTCTAGATCTCAGAAGTATATTCAAGTGCCCACAAGGGGGAACAGCACTATGCTGGGCACAAGAATTATCTGCTTTCCAGCCTTCCAGAAAATATCTTCAAAAATACAAATTTAAACAAGATTTTTCACAGCATTCTCTGCACAGAACCATGAAAGAGCAGCTATGGAAATGCAAAAGCCCATGATTATTTTTGCCATCTTACAAATCTGATAGATGCATCCAAGACAGAGACTGAGAGCAAAAAGGCTAGAACTGCTGGAACAGAGCTCTCCCCAGAATCAAGCAAAAACATCCATGGTTTCCTAATGCATCCCATAGTGACTGAACAACACGACTTCACCAAATAGAGACAAGAAATTTGCTTTCATCCGCACAATGTTAAAAGTGAGCCTTCAATCCCATATATAGAAATCTCGCCTAAACCAGTAGTCCCCAGTAGGGGTTGACTGACAACCTCCTCACACAAGATCCTCTGGCGTTGTCTGCAGCCGCAGAAATAAATGCAGTTTGACAGAGCAAAACAGACTTGCTCAGCATTTTTTGCCCCTAAGAGTCAATTAGAGGCATAGGTTCATACTCTAAGCTTTTGTACGGGCCACACTCCAAAAGTCTGTTTAAGCTCTCCCTCCTACTGCCTTTTTGCCCCTTTCTCTCATCTTTCGTGTCTATCTTTCCTAGACCCACAAACGTCCAACAAAACATTACTGAGCAAAGCCCCTTCTGCTCACACATGCTTCTTCCCTGAGCAGTGACAGGTGCCTGTTTCTGAGGTGCAGATTGGTATGGTTATAGCTTCTAGACTCCATGTGAGAGCTCAACTATTTCTTACCATGGTCTCCCAAGAATAGCCTACTTTTGACTAAGAAATACATATGCTATGTAAATGCTATTTCAACCAAATTTGGTTTATTTTTCTTTTTTCTTCTTAAACATATGGCAACTAATCCTAACTGCACACCAGCACTTCTTCCTTGACGTAGACTCAGAAGAACAATCTTTGGTTTTTAAACCTTCTTGGCTGAACACATTCCCAAAAGGTCAAGAGATGACAAGTCAATATTTTGCAACAGATTGTCTACCCAGTCTTCCTCCTCTAGTGTCAATCAGGCAGCACAAAGCAAGCTCATTCCCTCCTGGGCACTGAGGGGGAAGAGTCCAAAATGCAGAGTTCATACCCAGAAGTCTTGTGCCTACAAGAATAGAGGGCAGAGCTGGACATAAGGCAACACAGAGAACAATAGACTTAACACCTTGGCTGCCCCATGTTCAAGATAGGTACAACTTAAACCAATTTGTGGGCTACACTAGGTTGGGTTAGAGTGTAAAATTCATTAATTGCTCTCAGCTTCTTTCTTGGAGGACTATGTGGAGAGGATGTCATTCTTAATTTGTTCCTAAATAACACCTTCTGCTGAATTCTTTTGTATCCGCTGAGGTTCACAACCTAACCAGAACAGGCAATGATGTTGTCATAGCTGTCTTCCTCCATCTTAAAATGCACTGCACTACCAGCACAGCAGCAGCTGAAATCTAAAGCAGGAAGAAACAGCAAGTGTTCAAACATCACTGGCCTACATTAGTCACACGTGGTGCTATAGGGAAAACAGACTACAATGGATAGGCAGCTGTACTTCCCCCTCCTGATGCTGATACAAATCATTCAGTCTGAAGTCAGAAAGAGAAATCATTTTCCATTCATAATAGAGTATGTTTTTTTTCCTTTCATAGCTATGCTAAGATCCATAAATTTTGCCTTAAAGGACAAGAGGATAGTCTTCATGGACTTAAGCTGCAGAAGGTGTAATTTGAAGAGTAATAAAGTAACTCTAAACAATGAGATAATAGTTTAGAGGAGTATACACTGCTTACTACCACCTCAACCAGTCTGATCTATTATTGCTCCGGATACAAAGAGAGCAGATGTCTCATTGTGGTGAAAAAGGCTATAAAACAATTAAATTATAATAGAAAATAACACTTCTCCTAGCCGAAGGCACTCCTCCCAGGGTCTGTCTCTGTTCAATACAAAGGCTCAGTTGGTCATGTTGCATAAGATAATAACTGATTCCAAAAGGGCTCAGTTTTACAAATGTCAGATTAGGAAGTTTCCTCTCCATATAATTATAGTTCTAGTTGATTGAGCTCCAAATTTAATGAAGTTTGCCTAATGAATGCAATGCTCATTCTTCTAAATAAAACAGAACATCCATCATGAGCTAATGGAAGAAATTTAGCAGTGAAATAGCTGAACTATTAACAAAATCATGCACAATCTCATTAAGCAAGAGTATTATTCCAAAGGACTGCAAAATAGTAAGTCAGATTTATATTTAGGTAGACGTCAGTTTCCTGAGATTAGACAAATAATTCCTTCACTTGACAGCACATAAATCCACAGTCTGAAGTATCGAGCAAATCATATGACTAAGTGTAAACAGCAGGGCCATTAAAAGAAAAACGGTCTTTCTATCTAAAATTCTTTCAGTATGCTGAAGCGCTAGATGAACAACTAGTTTATTTATACCATTTTATAGTCTCACAAGAGGCTATCAAAGTACGGGGAGACAGATCGTTGCCATGTGTTCCATGACAAAAGGAATATGAAGAAAATAAATAGCCCGTTTTCATTATACCATAAGGTGTGTAACCGCCACCAGCCACCACTCGCAGAGACGATCAGCTCCGGTGCGGGCGCGTCCCACAGCGGAGCGGGGGATCGTGGCGTACGGGGGCGACTGCCCGAGCCGGGG